TCCACATTGTGACCACATTATCGCTAAATTGCCGGTCAGTGGTGTTCATGACTATCGGCGCTCCGAACACGTACTCGAGCTCAGAGGCGTGACAGACGCCCATCTCTTCGGTACAGCCTATCATCGGTGCCAATATATGCGAGACATACGTCCAGTCGTAGAAATACACCCGCATTTTGGGCGACCATTTGGCAAATTGTTTGGCGAAGAGATACGTCGGACACACTATATGGACGTCACCGTAAAACTGCCAGAAAGCACTTTCCAGCTCATGAGGGGCACTGGTATTGACACCTCTGATGTAAAAGTCAGCGATTTTCTGGGCGTCGAGTCGAGGAATGGTCACCGATTTGACCAAATCGGCAAAATCCGCCGCAGATGACAGGGACTTACACTTAGGGTAAAACGCACGGGCAAGTAGTGAGCCCTCGTCCCGCACAACACCGGCCAATATGTCTATATCTAATGGGTATATCAATAAAGCCGTGAGTTTTGAGTATTTTATTAACTAATTGTTTTAATTAATTACATACCTGTGCTATAGTTGTGTGTTTTGAAAGAGTTTTGTGCATTCAATGGCAAGAATTGGGTACCGATGATAGGGTTTGTCTTAAGATCCATGTATTTCGTCAACACTTTCGCGTCCACATGTCTTAAGCAGTCCAACCATTGGCTATCATCGGAACAGTTGAACGCTTTGGACATTTGTATGGCCTGAGAGAGTGCCACGTCTGGGGTCAGATCCGGCACCTCTTTGTTACCAAACACGGCTCCGGACTCCAGTATAGCCCTCTGAAAGAGACCCCTCGATAGGGGCGACAATACGTGAGCCGATACGGACCAACTGCCGGCGCTCTCGCCAAATATGGTGATCCTATTTGGGTCGCCGCCAAACCGATGTATGTTTTGTCTCACCTAATGTTCAATTAGTTTATAAAGTAATTGAAAAAATAATTAATTTTTCAAATATTATACCCATTGCAGAGCCAACAACTGATCGTACAGTCCCTGATTGCCCGGCGCCTCAGACTTACTGCCCCCGTATAACCACCCAAACGGTCCGACCCTATAGTTAACAGACACGATGACTGTGTCCCGAGTGGACAGTACTGTCCCGTCGATTATCGGGAAGAATATAGAGCCGGTCTTAAAACTTCCGCCGTATATCCAAAACATCACTGGTTTGAGAGCACCTGTACTTGAGCTCCCATTGCCACGGCTCGGCCCCCATATGCTCAGCACCAGACAGTCCTCGCTTTCCGTCAGGTTTGCAATAGGAATCAGTGTGTTTTGAAAGCAAGAGTTTTTGGGTTTTGTGCCATCGATCACATCCTTTTGATAGACACACAAATGGTAGTGAATTTATAACTCGATATTCACTTCACAGCTATATTTACCTCAAATGGTTTGACAATGGGCTGGGGTTTAGCAAACCTGAGCGCCCCTACAGGTGGCTCGGCGTAGGGTATGCCCAAAAACTGGTCAATTTCGGTGCCCAACACTGTTAACCGTTGACCCCTCACCACACCTATACTGGTGCTCACGTCAACCGTTTGTATACTTTGGCCATAATTAACACAATTTATGCAAATGTAAAATAAAATGAATTTTAAAATTCTAAAACTCATTTTACTTTTAATTATAATTTTAATTCACTTTAAACGTTATGTTAATACACTTTAATACACTATAAGTGTATTTCCTAAGCAATACAATACACGGAATCTCTATATTAATAAGTAAAACACTAACTAAAGTCAATGATAACGGATTAATACGTTTAATACTTAACTCGTTGATAACGAACACCGTATAATTGTCGTGTATTTAATGTACAGTAATGTTAGGTGTAGTACATTATGTATTAACCTGCACCTAAACATGTTGACTTAAATTGATAAAATGCTATAATATTTGCTTTTCAAGTGGTTATCAATGCCGTCGATGGACCAACTAATCGCTTATACCATTGATAACCTTCAGGACTTGACTCTTGATTGATATACCAATTATTAGCTAATCCATGTCGATGTGATTCTACAATTTAATTGACCGTAAATATTTATAATGAAATTTTTAATTAAATAATTTAGTCTAAAAACGTAGTCGTATTTAGAAAGGCATTGTCTTTGACATGTAATGTCATATCAACTAAAAGCACTCATAATATCCACTCAAATATTAGACAGTATTAAAACGTTTATCAGTTATTGTTTAGCAGTAATTGTTGTCGTATTTAAGTCTATGACTTGTGGTTTTCCTCACGTAAACCACAAACTATACATTGGATAATAAATGTATTTACTTGATATATTTACATTTAAATAACATTACATGATTTAACATACAATTAATTATTTGTGAAGTATTTATTTAAGTATTTCTAAATTATAAATTACTTTTCATTTATAACAAAATATAATACTTTAAGTAAATTATAAAATAGTTTAAAACATTGAGGTAGAAATCGCTTCACAAATAGTATGATTTCCAGAATCCATCACAAGTTTTGGCAAATAAATCATCTAAAATAGTATCAGGTTTTTTAGGATTGATTTCCTTCATCTTCGGCACCAGATTTGCTGCCTTTGAATCTATCATTCTGGGCCAGTGATAGGCTGTGCCGTCCATTGGTTTACTAAACACGAGGTAATAAAACATATAAATAGTTATTTAAAGGCACTACAATTATCATAAGCAATT